TTGTTTGAATTAGATGACCATCTTTTCTGATGGTAAGAGCCGAGATGGCTACTTTGATATGTGCAGATTTTTCTCGCACTTGACTAACTAATTTCACAATACCTTCTACCAACTGGTCGGGAGATTTCTCTTCCCGTAACTCCCTGTCTGTGAGACAAATACGGACGGCACTTGGAATGGAATGGAATGGAATGGATAACTATCTTTTTCTTGAAGCCGCGTGTTTATGCCTCGCGATTCACTCGCGAGACCAGTTCAGGGAGCGACCATGCCGATTTAATAAGAAAAAAACTTAAGTAAAGTCTGTTAGGAAGTTTTACATGAATAAATACATAAATAGAAAGTTTCAGCGCTGTTAAAAAGTTTTTTTCAAATTTTAAGCCGGTTTTCAAGAATATATATTCATGTTGACGGATTGACCGTGCTCTTCGCATGCGTGAAAAGACTGGGACTGGCCTTCAAGATTGGCCTCAAATTTCCTGTTGGAAGTAGCGTTGCAGTTATATCCATTTCACTGATATAAAGCGATGCTTAACCGTTTTGCTGCAACTACGTAATTTCTGACATAGAGCCTTGTTACACGCAGGAAAATACCGTGCATGGCGCAAGGTTTATTCTGCAGTCCATTTTTATAATATATCTTTCATTTTTTCACTTTTATGAGTAATGTTATGTAAAGAAAGTGTCGGCAGAGTAGAATGTCGATAATGTTTACAATTTTTCTTCGAATACTTTTTACATCAGTATCATGCATGACCAGCTTCGTACCCAGGCGCTTTGGTTTGTTTACGTCATTAAGCGCACGTGGGACGGCACGCGAGGGAGAAAAATGGAAATCGATCGATAATCCACGCGGCCCACGCAAAGGGCCGCGCAAGCCTAAAACAACACATAGCGCTTGGGTACGAGGCTGATGCATGACAGTGTATCCGAAATTACGTTAAATTAAATACAAACCAAAATTGCCTGGTGTCCGTTGAAAAGGCCATACATACACCAGGCAACTTTTTACGTACTGCAACTTACGACGCAATTTCCCACATAGTTATCTAAAAAGTAGTCCAGAAAACCTCTGCATGTGCATGACCCACGGTTTATTCTGCTGCCGATTCTTTATAAGTATCAGTTCATTTTTCAACTCTTATATATGTAAGCGGGATTGAGAAAATCTCAGCAGAGTCTAGAATGCAGGCCATGCTCAAATTTCTCTGTGACTAATGTCACTCTGGTAATATCCAGGAAATTTTCTCCACAAGCTTTCCGTTTTACACACACACATTTTGCGCGAGATGTCCGCTGACAATATAAGCCCGCACGGTGGGAGAAAATTTGCTAAATTTGACCGACGTGCATGTGTTTACATAACGTACATAGTTTTCTATATTTGAAATTGTATTGCAGAAAAAAATAATAATTGCCTTGTATAACATGGCTTTATTCCACAGTATAAAATAGAAAAAATACATTTATCACCAATAGTTTTACTAAAACGACCGCGTGTATACTTCTTACAGTCGTGCCAATAGAAGCGTTCTGAAAAATGTTGATCAATTCATTTCCTAACTTCGAGGAGTTCCTCTGAACAATTCCTCAACAATTTGATAAGTTCCTTAAAAAGTTCCTAACATCCTGTTTCATTGACCAATCAGATTTTATATTTTATTTTTGAGCAATCGTATTGGTCAATGAAACAGGAAGTTAGGAACTTGTTAAAGAACTTATCAAATTGTTGAGGAATTGTTCAGAGGAACTCCTCGAAGTTAGGAAATGAATTGATCAAGATTTTTCGGAACGCTTCTATTGGCACGACTGTAAAGACCATTGTCGAGTCCGTAATGTAAACAAATCCTTTGTTTACATTTTGAACTGCTGTATTTGTAAAATAAGACATACTAACTGAATATTTTAATAAAACACAAAACAATAGACACTCCAAAAATTAAGACAATAGACAATAGACACTCCAAATAAACAATAGACACTCCAAATTTTAACTGAATATCTAACACTTTTCTGGTTCGCAATTGTAAATGAATATAAACTAGAGTACGATTCAATTCAAAAAAGTTCGAAAGATGCAAAATTTGGGCAATGTTTATATCTGTGGGTCCCCCTTTGTTATGAGCAGAATTGATGCGCAGAACGGACTTGACATGGTCTTTAAAATTACATGCTGTGCTAAAATTACGTTTGAATTCGTACTTCCATCACGTGTAAACTAAGCTAAATACGCTGATGTCATGCACAAAAAGTTCTTGGACTTAACATTTCCATTCTACTGTGCATGCAAACTGACAATAATTGTGCTCTCCTTTTCTTGTTTTCCTTCAAAGGCCTATAAATAAATGTAAGTAAATAATTATATTGATTTAAGGGTGCTAGTTTGTTCTCAGAAAAATATTCATCTGTTATTTCGCATGTAAAACTATATCGCTGTGGAATTGGAGTGAAAATCCGAATATGAAATTTGAGTTTCACTTTTTTTTCATGCAAAACAGTAGATGTTCGCATGATGGGGGCGGAAGATTGAGATAGGAATATCAATATTTATAGGAATTGAATATTGATAGTGGGAATATGGATATATATATTTGAAACAAAATTCTAAATATCGAATGTTAGCCACCTAGCTTAACTTAAAAGGAATATTGTAGACAGGATATTGAAAATGTCCTGCGGCGTAATTTGGTGGAGTTTTTGACTCGAAATTCCTATCTTCAAATCCCTTCAACATTAGAAAGTCGATATTTTGTTTATAGCATTTTTCGTGCTGTTTTAATTCCTCAACTACCAATTTGTTAGTATATTAACTTCTTATTAACCGAGCGCGAGGTCTTTACAGAGAAAAATCGGACCGAGGTCTTTTTCGTATAGACCGAGCCCGTAGCTAGGGGGAGGTTTGTACAAAACTAGACCGAGGTCCGATATTTCTCGGTAAAGACCGAGCAAGCGAGGTTAATAAAAAGTTTATTATATGGTACTTATAGGCATTTATACTCGAAAAAAACCCCCAGGAAATGCATGATTTGAAATGCATATTAGTAGCGTGGTACACATTTGGTCGAAGAAAACAAAAATTATCAATGTATTCCTTCCTAATTCCACTTAAAACCATTCGCAGACATCTTATTAATAACAAATTAAATTACAATTTTCAAAGTTTCAATTAGTTTTGCTGTTTTGTAGTAAAATACATGCGTTTGTTTTTACGTAATGGACCGCAGGTCCATTACGGGAAAATAATGACCACTGAAAGTCCTTCTCAGCCAATCACAGCTCGCCATTTCACTGGAAGTGATGCTTGGCCATATAATAAAAATAAGTAATGTTACGACCGGAGAAGTCTCACAATTACTAAACGTATAATGCTCTTCACACATTTTCCTTTTTAGCACTAATATGTACCCGCAAAAACCATATGTAGCGGATAAGTATATAGACAGCATGTATAGTAATGGTTCATAAGCAATGTATGACACCGTTTCTTAGAGTTTTTCCGGCTGAGGAGCCCCAGAAGGTTTGTAAATATTTCAATTTTTCTTTCAAAATTATTTCAAGATTTCAGATGTTATCAGCTTTGAAAGAAACATTTTGACTTAAAAATAAGTTTTGAAAAAAAACCCAGTAAAGTTTCCTTTCAGTGATTTCTAGTGATGAGTGATATCCACTTTTTAATTCGCTACAACACTGCTTTGATATTTGCCGACCAAAAAGCCAACGATCGCAGGCTAAGCAGCATCGAAACAATCGATATATTTCTGTACAGTATTCGACCTTTTTCAGAACTTGGTATTGACGTTACGGAATATTTGGTGTCGATATCGGCTCATTACAAGTAATCCATTGACTGAGAAAATAAAAAAAGATATAAAATGCTTAAAATAAGCATGTGGTTTTTGGACTACGTTGGTTTTTGGGGTACGTATACCTGCACGCAAATTTCTTTCAAATATGAAATTGTAGCAAAATTCAATTCAATTGGCCAATCCGGTCCTGTATAATTTAATTTGATCCTATATTTTAGTTGAAATATCTGGCTTTAAATTTTGTTTATTTTTCAGCGAAAAAATACAATCATTGATTTCCTTCTACTTGAAATCGGTTTAGTCCTTGTCTTTAAATTACTGTCTTGTGAATAGTGTGAATAAAATAATTTAGAAAAAATTATAATAATCATACAGTTGTTCCAGAAGTGCCACAAGTAACTTGCTCCTCTTCATTATCACATCTTAACAATTTGCAAAGAGAATGACAACTAAGCATTTCTTTATATTCATGTCTAAATTTTGAACTGTAAACTCCATACAGGATCGGATTGATAAAGCTATTGCTCAATGCCAACATTACGAAGATCAAAAAAACAACTCCTCCAAGATGCTTTCCTCCAACATTTGTGTATCGCAGCATGTAGCTGATGTCAGTTGGCAACCATCCGATGATCAGAGCGAGTGATGCTATAAGAGCAATGATGGTTAATCTTTTTTTGAAATTTTCCTTGGTTCCATTCAAAGTTTTTCTTTTACGAATTTTGTAGAGGATGTGAAAATATAGAATGACAATAACCGAAAAGGGTAAAACACATGTCATTGTAATCTCAACAAAAGCGAAGAAGGCTCTTCCTGTTTCAGGCTCCACCCAGAAGCAAGATCTTCTATCAACGTCCGCTTTGATGGTAAAGAAAACGGTCGCGTTTATAAAGAAAGCCCAGAACCAAACAAGAATCACGGCAACTTTTGCATGTTTCGCTTTCACTCTTTGGTAGAAATGAGGTTTCATTATCGCCAGCCAACGCTCGATTGTCAACACCAAACATGTGTAAATAGACACATATCCGCAGCCGAAACATATAAAACCTCCCCATAATAGATAACAGTACGTCATTGCACTTGTATAGTTTTCCGGAATCTGAGGCTGAAAAACAAACCGACCGAAGAGGACAAAAATTCCAGCGAGTAAATCGGACACAGCTAGGTTGATAATAAATATGTCGAATGCAGTTCTCACGAATCTATTTCGTCTTCTGTAAAATGCCAGAGGACAAGTGCATTACCAAGGATTGCTGCAATGCCAATCAAAGCAATAATCGCACGTGATGCCGAGCTTTCTGAAGGAGAACCCATTTTCAAGATTCCTAAAAAAACAAAAATATATTTTATACACTTTTAAACGTTTGACGCAATTAATACCTGCTCTGTACCATACTACTTTTCATTATAATTAACATGCAGACATTTTTCATGCATATATGAATGTTCAGCCAGGAATATATTATATATATATTACAGTCCTTGATATCAATAACGAGTACTGTCGCAGAATTTGCGTATAATGTAATACAGATACATTTGTATTCTCACTTAATATTCTCCCAGTGTAATTATCGCGCTTCAGTTTACATTATTTTGTTAGAACAGTATAGGCCATAAACTAAGTTATATAAATTCCAAGACATCTTGACAATTAAATATATGATTCAAAACAAGACGCAGGTTTAGACTGCAAATTTTCGACTTTATTTTAAAGTCATCTTCAGACAGAATGAAATACGATACTTTACAATACATATATAGTAGATAAAACATGAGGAGCCGATCTGTATCTGAAATACACACTCTCGACGAATTATCGTACTTAAAAAATGACCCATCTTATGAGTTCATTGACATTGGCGAAGTAATTTTAAAAATAAACATTGTCTAAGCCGAGAAAATAAAAGTTGAAGTTTATGTAAATCAGGACAAATCTTTATCCGATTTACCAATATTGATTAAACATTCATTTCTTTTGTATTTTCCTCGTGAATTATTAATGAATTTTTAAAATATATTGAAAACACTCATTAAAAATTCGTAAACCTTGTGGCAAATCATGTCAGCCATAATATGTTACGTGGAGTGACTTTATATCTGATAAAGCTCATATAGTATTCTTTATATAATTGTTCATCCTAATTAGTATGATTATATAATTGTTCATCCTAATAAGTATTCTTTTGTAGTCGTATTTTAAGCTATTCAAAACACGAGAAGGAGTGTTTTATCATATCTAAAACGCTCGGCTGCATGCGCCTCGCGTTTTAAATATGATAAAACACTCCTTCTACTGTTTTAAATAGTACATATACAACGCAGAGAAAGAGCATCTGTCATGTGGGCGGAAGGAAGGATTATCCAAGCGAAGCGAAACATGATAAAGAAATTAGTAAAAACTGAAAATGGATTATTTAGCTATATTTACAACAATGTTTCATATATTAAAAGGATTAAGGTAGAAAGGAAAGACCCGACAAGTAGAAGAAAATTAAGTTGAAGTGTTGTGTGAACAGTTGTAGGCTACTAGCTTTAAGTGCAGTGTTAAAAAAAGGTTTGTTGTGTTTGATAAGCAGTGCTTCAAGAAAAACAAGAATGTTGTAGTCAGTGGCGTGGTGGCTCGAAAATTTCAAGGGGGGCCAGTGTTAAATTTGTCGCCCCTAAGAGTTATCTCGATTATTGCGCCCCCCCCCCGCCCAGCCTCCCGAAAATTAGTGCGAGTGTACACATCGAGTGTCGTAGGCACGAGGGACCTAGAAGGGTCTGGGGGGATGCTCTTCCAGAAATTTTTTTAAAATCTAAGTCTGTGAAATGGCATTTCCAGCATTCTGAAAACACATTTGTGAAACAGTTTTCCACCAAGTACCAATCTAAAACAATGTTAGTCAGGTTTTGTTGTAACATATTATCACTGACGGATATAATTATACTATAAGACAATTTTTACTATCATATGCCGATAATGAGAGAACATAATTTTGTTCCAGGTCAAATGTCAATAACGTATAGACTATAAGCTATAGTTTAGGCAAATTGAGCATAATATCACATGTACAGTTTTAAAAGACAACCAATGAACCAAATGAAAGTCAAAGTAGAGTTTTTGACAGTTCGGGAGAAAGCCCTGCGTACAAGTTAATGAGATGTTCTTTATCGCATTTGAGCAAAATTTTACGCTCGATTGACATTGAAAGCAAAGATTCAAGTCTCTCCTGAACCATGGATGAGCGAATGCGAGTCTTCACCCTCTTGAGTGCAGAAAACGAACGCTCTGCAGTTGACGAACTAACTGCGATGGCCACAGCTATAGCATAAACGCGACAGAGAGTTGGATACGCATCAACCAAACTATAATCTGGGTTACAAAGGAGTGAAAGAGCTCCAGAGAAAGATGGAACTTTTTTCTTCGTTTGTTTTTCAGTTTTCTTGCCGCCGCTGTCGCTCTGCTCATTATCTGACGTGCTGAGATTTCGTCGTCGTCCTCGTCATCATCATCATAACCATCGTTGTCCTCGCCGTCATCATCATCATCATAACCATCGTTGTCCTCGCCGTCATCATCATCATAACCATCGTTGTCCTCGCCGTCATCATCATCATAGTCATCGTCGCCCTCGTCGTCTTCGCCGTCATCATCATCATCATCTAGCGTATCCCTTAAATTTGTTCCCTTCACTATACCACAATAACAACAATTTCCGCATTGTTTGGCGCTTTACGGTCAAACAATGTAACTTAATAGAAGCACGATAATGTTATGAGTTACTTGAAGCGGAAAAAGTATGTATAATTATGTATAGTATGTCGCGAAGGGCAATTAATTTCTGACAAGGTTTTTTGCATATGTTTAAAGCCTTAAGCGGAACGCATGTAAAGTGTGTTGAGTGTTCCTATTTTGAAAAGGAACAGAAATGTAAAAGGAACAAACTGTTCCCACCTGCATTTTATCGTTCCCTTTGCTTTATGTTCCGAAATTCGGAACCAATTAAATTAGGAACACCAAATTGGTTCCTTTCCATAGTTCCGCTAATGAACTCTGGAAAGTTCCACAAAGCGGAACGTCTTTCTAACACATTCTGTTTGTTTGGTTATATGTTTGTTGCCTTTTAAGCTTGTTCCCTTTTAAGCTTGTTCCCTTTTAAGCTTGTTCCCTTTTAAGCGTGTTCCCTTTTGAACTTGTTCCCTTTTAAACTTGTTCCCTTTTAAGCTTGTTCCCTTTTAAGCTTATATGCAAGCAGAACGATATTTTATATGCCTTGCTTTGCTCGTTCCCCTGAGAAGCGCCACAATATTATATAGCAATGCAATAAACGTTTATAAGACATATTCCAAAACCTGGTCTATTTGAACAACAGCCCAAGAGGGAACTGTTGACATTTTAATATAGTTTTAATGATAAATCCTTGCCAACAAGTAAACAAGCCCGTTAATTTATTTAAAAACGGAATACGGTTAAACGGTTTGTTAATGGTGTATTATTCGGAACAATAAAGTCCGAACAATATCACAAAGGTGGCCAGGGTATAACAAAGGAAGTATAGTTTTAACTATATAGCATTAAATGAGAAATCTCATTTAACAGACTCTGCATTACTAATGGTTGGGTTGGCAATATAAAAAGCAAGGAACTGTCGATCGCTGCATATTTGTTTGATTCTCATGTGTGCACGTAAGAAACATGTAATTGACTGGAAGACAGTAAACGGCGCATTTTCAAAACCGAGACGACTTCATTTGGTCCAAGGTAGCGATGGTTTGAACCGTTGTCCAATACTTAGCTGCGATCATCCAGGATTCGCAAGCCGAAGAGGCTGTCGCAAGCATGTTAAAACAATACATGCCTGGTATTACTATTTCGATGAAAAGCCAAATGTAGCCGTCGATACTTTGGTCATTTCTACTGCCCCAAATGTTGCAAACGGAAAAGGTTCAAACGTCCCGAGTTGTTCGACAGACAACGACTTCGCACGGTCGTTCTCGCAGTGGCTACAAAGCAGTTGTGGCGGGGGGAAATCTCGTAAACAATCGGACATTTCAGTATCGAGAGCCTTGAAGTTTGTAAAATTTTGCTGCGACCAGAGTGCCGAGGCGGAAGATGACGTGCTCTCCTCTACCAATTTCATCGACTACAGCTTGGGATGCCCCCAGCTTTTGACAAATTTTGTTGACAGTCTGGACACAAAATGGGGTATTGGACAATCTGGACGGATTGCTTACGTGACAAGCATATCGGACTTGCTGGATTTTCGAAAGTTCAATTCACCGCCCTCATCTGTTCTTCAAAACTTTGCCGTAACCGAGGTTTATGTGAAGAGAGCACGAAAGTGTTTGGCGAAGGACATGAGATCAAATTGGACAACCGATTTAGACATAGAAACGCTGGAATCGCATCGAAGTTGGGCAAGCCTTTCTGAAGTACAATCCGTGATTCCATTTCACAAGGAACGTTACCAATCTGTTTTAGAAATGTGCATGGAAAATCCTGATTCAGTAAAGCCTTGCGACGTAACGTTTGCCACCCGATTCATCGCGGCATACTTGTTTCTCAAAGTGAAAGGTTGTAGGCCCATGACGTACCAGCATCTAACTCTTCGTATGTTTGAAAGTGCAAGAAGAAATGACGGAATGGTAGATCAGAAAATTTTCAAGACGGCCAAAAGATACGGTTTCGATAGCGTATACTTCGACGAGGTTAGCATCAATTTTTTAGAACAATATATTACGTATGTCAGACCTCTTTTAAATCCTATTTGCGACTACATTTTAGTCAATCGAAATGGGAAACAATTTCAGAAACTTACAGACCTTTTGAGCGTGTTAGTCTTCGAAGCCATCGGAAAGTACATCCACCCTACCAGGTACAGACAGATAATTGAAACCGAAAGCTGCGTGGCACTTTTGCCAAATGAACAAAAGTGGATATCAGAAGACCAAAAACACAGCTCGAATGTGGCCCGTGTTCACTATCAAAAGAAACGCTCTCGCCAAGTAGCAATCCGAGGACGCTGGTGCATGAGAAAATTAGTCGAGACAGAACGTAAGACGGTGAACAGCGACGTGAATACGAACATGGAAAATGAGAACGATGTGACTAACTGTTTTCATGGACCGGTTTCAGAAAACGACAACGCCACAGATATTGCGACTAGTTCGAGAGAGAAATTGTTTCAGCGCCGTGCTGGTATCCGATTCACAGCCGAAGAGGATGAGTACATTAAGATTGGCATGAACAAATTTGGCTTACGTTGGTCCAAGATACTGCGTCATCCGAACTTTACTTTTAATCCCTGTCGAGTTCCAAACACTTTGCGAAAAAGGGCAGAAGCGTTAAAGTTAGTGTGATTTTCAACAATACTTTGCATGAATTTATGAAAACATTGCGATAGAATATAGATGTGTAAATAAACGAATAAAATACACTTTCCTGTTTTTGCGTTTCATCAATTTTTACTTTAGTACAATCTAAATTTGCGCAATTTGAACTTATTGATATGCAAGACAGCTGGCTACCTGGCTACCATAATAAAACTATAGTAAAACGCCTGGCTACCACCTGGCTACCATAATAAAACAGCTGGCTACCATCTGGCTACCTGTATAACATAAAGTATTTACAAATTTTAAAAGTGAATTTTGAAATTTGTATAATAAAATAAGATGGCTGACATGGTTCATTTTTACCATTTGGCATTTCGACGCCCCTCTTGAAACCATCGCTGGGGGGGCCATGGCCCCCCGCCCCCCCCCCCAGCCACCACGCCACTGAGGCCACCCCCTTTTGCAGGGCATTTGTTGCAGGACACGTCTTTTTGCGGGGCAAAATGACTCCCCAATACGTAGTCTTAGAGTCAATAAGTTCAACAAGATATAATTTATGTGCGAAGACGCCACTTGTAGCTTACAAAAAATCATGTTTAGTGAGTTTTATACAATACTGCCGTATAAGTAATTGTTTTAGATCTTAATCTTTTTACTATTATCCCTTCACTGGTGAAGCGGTAACTGTAAATTCAAACCAGTAATTACTCAGTATTGGCGCCTGACATGAGCGGAAGGTTAGTTGGTTCGAACGACTCATAGAGTAAAGAGTATTTTCAGATATTATGGTGATTTAATGCATGTGGTTTAATTGTTCTGGACAGTTACTGTTTGTCTTATTCGACGTATTTTGGACAGTTTATATGATTGTATCGTTATAATTATGTCCATATGGCCATCCTACTGCATTCAATGTTATTCAGTGTTATATAATTGGCTGGCCCAGTTCCTGGCATAAGCCCGGGGCGAGGGTACTAATTCCGCCCGGCTATTTACCCCCAAAGAAAGCTAGTTAGCAAAGTCTAAAGTGGTGCCATGATGTATGAGTGGACCTCCTCACTAATCTCAAAAATATGGCTGTTCGCCAGGAGTGAGATAAGCGAGATTTGCACAAACTATGCACTTAATTATGACAATCTTAAACCTTACTCAAAACTTTGATTACCCTAAACGTAACCCAGATCTTAACCCTAACATTAATCCCAAATTAAAACCAACTCTGAGTTTCAAGGGAATGGCAATATATTATTTTTATTTTCTCATTTGAAAGAACTTTTAAGACTATTTTTTCATATTTTGCTTACTTCTACAAATATTTTGATCGAAAGGAATAAAATGTCCGCCATCTTCAATTTTTGTAGATATGGATATCACACGTCACAACAGGGGTCACGCAACATTTTTACCTAGACAACCACTAATCATTTTGCACTCAAAACTATACTCTGTCTGCCAACTTCAAAATATTAAGATCATGCACTCAAAACCTTTATCAATCTACCAATCAATATTTGGTGAGCAACGAATACTTTTATATGGTTAATCCCTGATGTGACGTCACCACAACTACCGTTAATGAGATCAAAAATTAGTATCCAAAATGGCGGAAATCTCATTACTGTACCTCATGTAAAAATACTTCAAGAATTAAGCAAGATATGAAAAATCAGTAAGAAAAGTTAATAGCTATATAGTTTCGAAAGTTCTTTCAAATGAGAAAATAAAAATTATTAATATTGCCAGTTCCCTTCAATTTCGCAATTACGATATATAAAAAAAGCTCCTCCACACCTCCCAAAAACCCTTCTTGGCAAGTCATCTTTCGTCTCCCTATAGTGACAGGGATGTTCTTTAATTAGAAAACTGTAGATGGGTAGGGATTTAACTACCCGAAAAATACAAGGAATTTAATTTTTTATTTTGTAGTCAGTTGAATCCCTATACCCAAATTAAAAATACATAATACTTCACAATCACCAAAATAGTCGGCAAATTTAATTTGATTGCTCAGATGATTTTGGCGAAATTGTTTAAGTAATATACAAATCATTCGCATCCGATATGTATCTGATTCCCTTCTAAATCAGATACAGATTGGCTGCTCATGATCGATCTATGTAATACATCAAATATTTTTTATTATAAAGTCAATGATTTAAGAATAAAGTTTGTTCTGTTTATAATTATAAGCCGGGTTGTCATTTTGTTACATAACACTAACATTCCACTTTTTTATTCTAAATGGAAATCGATTTTATACCATTCATATATCAGAGTCGTCAATCTCCACAGGCTTGTCGATATCTTGCAATCTCCTTTGACAACAATCGAGTTGAACGACTACAAATATAAGCATTACAACACTGAGATTTATGACAGCCAAACCAAGGAAAGTTGTTCGGCCACCAATACGTTCCATCAACACTCCGCCTATTATACCTCTCCACCATAACCAACTCCCCAAAACAGCATGTGCACAAAAGCTGCCAGGGTTGACCCGTTCTGACAACTATCGCAAAAGAAAGACAACGCCACAGCCCAAACAACTGAAAATGTGAATGCTTTGAGAAACTCCACAGTCAATATTATAACCAAGGATTTTCAATCATTCCGTATACGGTCAAACGAACCGCATAAGCAAAAATCTCCAAAACCAACATCTTCAAATGGCCATACTTTGAAATGAGTTTCACGGATAATAGGAACCCAATCAAATCACCGACTGCGTTAAAACCAAGAATTAAACTAAAAAGAGTTTGAGAACCACCCAATGACTGTAAATACCAAAACAGGAAATTTTGAATAAAACCCATATTAAAACCGGCCAGTAAGACTATGAAGAAAACAAACAGTGTAAGGCGATCAAGCTGTTGACAAACTTGAGCTAAATGTGCGCGGGTTTCAAGTGATTTATCTTCGTTTGCGTTTCGGTATTTGAAAGGTATTGCGACGACTAATTCGCAGAGCATCAAGAAGCCAAACGCGTAGAAACAAGGACTGTAATTGATATCATCAATTCCATTACAAGCAAGTGAGCTGTCGTGGTTCATACTCACTAACATTCCCACGACAAATGCTGACACACCCCAACCTTTCGAGCCGAAACATCGCTGCTCGCCGTACTTGTACGCCGGTATCATCACCGAGAACCTGAAGTGTTGCGGTGTTCGCCATAGTCTGTGCGGGGGCCGCGAACAAATTCCCAATCAAAATTATTAAGAAAAGGTAAGTGAAAGTATGCCAAGTACCGAAAAATCCATGCATACTATTTATCGACCACCAGGACCCTTTCCATCCTTATTATTTGTCGAATTTAAATTGGATTCATCAATAACAGCCAAATTAGGTTGAATTCTATATAGCTTTCGTTTTAATCTCAGAAAAAATGTTCAGTGAGTTTTGTGATGATGAAATGTTTGGAGAGAATCTTTCTTGGTCAGCTAGGTCTTCCTGCTCCAACAACATGGCTGACGCAGCCAAGTTGTAACTGAGACTGTCTGGTGGATTTTGGTTACGTTGTTTGCTGGCGGTATCGTTATACGAGGCATAGCTAATGTCCACGGGATTGTAATCGTGAATATCCTGCGGGTATGTGTTATGTTCCTTTCTGAGAATATACTCTTTGGCAAAGGATAACTGAAATCAATGGATCGCTTTAACATGTGTGTTGAGTTTACCATACAACTCAACGGCTTCTTAGCAGCAGGGACGAGGAGAAGGCTGATATACGCAAACATCCATCCACATAAGCCAATGAAGAGTACCGTTTTCTTTGCATTGAACCTGTCGGCGACAAATGCCCAAAATACTGCAGTAATAGATTGTGTGATTGGTCCCAAGCCAATTAACAGTCCGGCTTGTGTAGGTGACAGCCACAAATGTTTGAAATAAAGTGGAATGAAAGGAAGAAGGGATGCGATTGCACCATAGAAGAAGTAATAGAAAGCTTTAAATGGCAACAAAGTACATTTATTTGTAAGCAACGTGATGGCTTCTCTTCGCTGTCTTTCCTGTTCACAGATTCATACAAAGGTGGTAGTTCCTGATCAGAGGATTTTATGTGTGATCAACTTTTGCTTCAATGATGAGAGACTATCTGTATATATAGAAGAAATAACAAGAAGTTAAAAAAGGTTATATGATTGGAAGCACGCATCATGCAGATATGATATTAATATGACGACTATCAGTGGCAATACAAAGTCGCCTAAAATGCATAGCATCCAAAAGAACATTGTACGTGAACAGGATAGGAGGATATCTATCCTTGCAAACAAATTGCAAGATACTGCCATTGCAAACCAAGATATGAAATGAGATTCAACAGTTAATGGAAATAACCCAGGAGCAAGACTCCTACAGTATATATAATACCTCCCGGCCCAAAGTAGGAATTATTGATTCGAGAATATATGAATAGAAGTTATACTGTTAAAATAAGTTTGCTTTGCAGCTCAATGTCAATGATTGCTGCCAAAGAACATGACATTTCATAATCACTTTATTTTTTTTATTCTGAACCTCGTAATATGTAGCAGCCAGAAATTCTGATAGTCTTGACTGCATGCACGTATCTTACCGAAATATATGTGACTTGGTAGGAAGTTCAGAACGATACTCCATACATTGATTAGAAGAACCTATCAATTCACGGCTTGCTAATAACGATAGCGAACAGGTGATTGTATTCACGGAACATGCATAACTGTATATAGTGATTGTATTCACGGAATATAACTGTATATACTCGCGCTGCGCGCTCGTGTTTTAAACCTAATAAAACACTCCTGCTCGTTTATTATTTAAAACAGTACGTTAGTTACTATAGACGAACTATCGTGTTCACACTGTTTTCAACAAGGGAATTTCGATATGGAATATAATTGTCCTGATGAAGAAATTAAAAATCAAAAATCGTATATGATTTTAGATTCATGTAATTCATTTTAATCAAAACAAGGAGGCCTTATATCAAAAGTCCAACAGGATTTCAAAAGGTCCCTAACTCCTTTATATATTATTGTATTTTAACTATATTTCCATTATAAATATTTTCTGTGAGCAAATATGACAAATATATATTCTATTTCTATTATTTCAACATGTTGATTGATTTTTTCTCAAACAATGAAGTTATTTGAAAATAGTTATATTGGTTTCTTATCGTGTTACGACTAATGTATTTGTAATAAAACAATTAATTAAATTCAGTTACTGAAAACATGTAAAGGTGTATTTTATTTGTCGATCTGTACATGGCTAATCATGGCTTCTGTATCTCCCGTTCGTGGAAGACCAACAAGTTAGGGCATATCAAAAAGAATATCGTCGACAAGTTCAACGATACTTGACAACCGTCCTTTGGGCTGAAAGGAAAGAAATCCTCGGAATAGCCCGGGGGCTTTCGCATAGCGAGTAAGAGTTCGCCGAAATCCTGCTCCATCAAAGCAAGGACGACCTGCGTAAATGTAGTAGACGATGGGACAGGAATAAGGATTTCACCAATTGCAAAACACCAGCGGGTAAATATATTAAAGTTTTTTGTTTATATTATAAACAAATTATTAATAAAGCTAATGCACATGATTTTTAGTGTGATGACTATATTTTCGAAGACAACACTATTTTTAGCTCCCCGTATTTGTAAACATTCACATAGCGCGCGAAGCACGCATCTACATAAAACGTGGTAAACTATACGAAACTAAATTCCTAATATCATCTTCCAAGAATTAATTCGTCGCCTTTGGAGAAGACATGCCACCACAATCTAGGACCAAGTACGTCTTCGTACATAGTTGGCCACTTTTTAAGGACGGTATTCATGCAGGCATTTGACAAAGTATCAACACACATATATATATATGCATTTCCACATTGACAACCGTTAATGTACTAATAATAGTAAAAAAATATGGAATAAATAATTAAATCAAAAGCATTGGAATGAAATTTGTGATATATTCTTTGCAAGCGTTATTGAATATCGTTTATTTCTAGGATCAAAATATGCTGCCTTTGATCAAATTGGATGACCGAATGACAAGAAACAGTTGTAAAAGCACACTCCTGCGCAGAGCATTATGAATTTATAGTCAAATTACGTAATGCTACTGCGGAAACAAATTACGTAATTGTTAGTCAAAATGCATGCGCTGGGTATGATGGGAAGAAGGAAGTTACGTAAGGACCCACGTATCACGTGACCCCATCGTCCACCACTGAATAGAGACCTTAAAATACACGACGGGAAACGACAAGAACGGGCCGCCAGAAGTCGTTTACAAATCTGGGCATGCGCATAATTATAGTCTTTTCACGCATCGCGTTTCCCGTCCTTTCACGTCAACTACGGCAAAACTTACAATCTCACGTTGTGTGGATTACGTTGAGATAAAATGTTATAAAAGCATAAAAATAAAAGGTATAATGAACTGTTCTCTTATAGTCATCGAGCCAATCTCGTGAGTATGCCCGTTCGCAGGTTAGGTGCTGGGCATATCATCGAGCAAGAGGCCACCAAAGAGAAACAGGCGTCAAAGGAACGTCCTAGAACAACAATGATCGTACGTGTTGCCATGGTTAAGTGAATATTTAATATATGCACCCTTGTCAATATTTTACGCATCTTTGCGTTCAGCTTAGTGTTATAGGGCATTCAAATTTTAACAATACGTTATTTCAATGGTTTTGCGGGGTTGTTTGGGACACCCTGTATGTACAGGGTGTCTCAAAAAAGAAAACACAATGGAAATTCATCGTGCATCATACATAAACTTTAGCTAAACAATTCAGTTTTTACATATGACGAAATAGCTGTTATTTATCTTTTCTATGATACTTTTTTAAATCGTAACGATGAGAAATGGCCATGCACATACTCGTCAAATAAAAATTGCCGATCGAAATTACATTCTTCCACCGTTGGGAATTGAAAATACATTAATTATGCAAAAATCTATCCAAAAGCAACGCGATTATGCTGCAAGCTATTTGTTTCGTAAAACGCTTTGAGTACGAACGTTCTCTGTTCAGTGGTTAATTGAACCATGTTTAATTAATGGCGTTCTTACTGTCACTAAGGGGCGGACCATTTGATTTTTGAGAGGTGGGGTGGAAGATTCAGACTGTGCAAGAATTTTTTTCCGCCCAGGGGAACAAGACAGATATTTTTTTCCTGTAAAAGTGCAGTGCAAGATATTTTTTCCCCAATATATTTCGCTGCAGGATATTTTTTCCTCTCATAATAACGGCTTACAGTAACTTAAGGCTTTCATATAGCTATCGTCAGAGACGTAGCCGGGGTTTGCAGTAAGAAGAGGCCGAGAACTGAATCCCAAGAGAGGCCAAGGAATTTTCACTGTGCTTTATTTTATATGGTTATGTCTTAATTAATGTTCCCCACACTAAAGCGTGCAGGTTTAAAACATGCAGGGATAGAGTAGAGTACTCGAAAATGGGGGAGGTACAGTTGTTACGAGGCTTTATTTATAGGTAGTGAATCGTTACAACAATCTCTAATAACTATCAGTTCTTAATGTTCGTCTTCTCGTAGTAGTTTCCTAAAGTTCACTTCATTTTACTCTAGTCCACTGTCCATTGAGAATCCACTGAAAGATCATCCACTGAGAATCCACTGAGAATCCACTGAGATCATACACTGTTACGACAACTTTTCATAGATAATTTTTACTTCGTTGAGTCCACTGAAAGATCATCCACTGGCGAGTCTCGGTTGTGCACGCACTTTTATACTAACGGTTGAGGGGATCTTTGTACACGTGAGGTAGCAAGTGGTGTGAGTTGTATCCAGCCAATCAACGTTGAGGTTTAAAAGTGTGGGTTGGCGTTGCTAGCTCGTTCCAGTCCTCAAATTCTGTTTATTTAAGGCGTTGTCGCACTGGTCGAGTTGGTTCGCTGTTCAATCAATCAATATTAAAATATGTTCACAACTTAAAATACTTATTGAAATATCATAGTAAAAACTTCAACCTATACCTATGTGAACCTTACTTTACCTACTAACCTAAATTTACTTACAATTTTATTGAACCAAGATTTTGATGACGTAATGTTATAATTACTCAACCGCGCGAAATATACCGAAGAATGATTGACAGAAAGGCCCTAAGCATGCACATTTTCATGTCAGAGAAGAACCAGCCTTGGACTTTGAATTATGTAAACACAACAGCCCACCATGCAAGGCTATCGTCCAACTTTGACAAATGATTTATCTTGCCTAATGGACAGATAATTGACACTTTTACACAAGTCCGAAATGATATATACTTTATCTGCGTTTTACAGCAAAAATGCTCATTATCTGTCCATTTGACGTAACTAGTATCTATAATTACCTGGGGGTGCAAATTGAACTATTTTTATACTATTTAGATATACTTTCGCAACACAGTATTTGAATGACCTGTAAACTTGGGGGGTTCGGGGGCATGCTCCCCCGAGAAAATTTTAAAATTTGGACCTATATCTGATAAAACATTCCTACTCGTGTTTTAAATAGCACTTAAATCTCTTGCCAAACTTACTCTTTGTGTTAAGAATGTCAATTAAAGATATCATTAATGTTTTGAATAAATTCAGCAGTTTGCTCACACTTTTCAAGCTGTTTCACGTTTAGGTTGCGGAGATAAATCATAAACTGCTTAATGTTTGGGCTGCAACTGCAACCTTCATCTTTTGATTGTGCCATTTAATGTGCACATTTTTCAACTTGTTTCCAAGGTGCAAGATATCGGATTGTTGGACATTGAATATCTCCTTAATATAATACCAGCTGATTGTTTCTCCACCCGAGGTATAAAAGACTCTTCTTGTCTCCTGATGTATTGCGGGCAAGTTTTAACATATGGTATATGTCCAAGATGACATATAGAGTTTTGCCTGGTCGGGTAGGATGTTGGAAAGAGCCATCAAAGCTGTCTATCTTACATCCAAGACGTCTAGCTGTGGCTAAATTCTTTGAGCAGCCATCAAAAGTCACAGCATACACATCAAGCCCCGCATCGGTAAGTAAGTAATTAATAGACTCTTTTATTATCTGTGCTTGCATTTTAGAGTCTAATTATGTGGTTAACTAAAAAGTAAGCAATAGGATAACTCCATGGTTTTTGTATGCCTTCTGCCATAACAACCAGTGCATTATGAGCAATTATATCCTGGTCTTCTGCTAAAATTGGCCCATAGTCGGTGTTACCAGCAAATTTCTGATTTTCGCATCCCACAGAACTTCTTTTTTTGTTGACATTTCATCAACCAATATGATGCAATCTTTGTTATCATCCTCTAGAGTGTTCTGAAGATGTTCGATAACGTTACTTGGGTGGCTACTACTACTCGGGTGGTTACCTCGGGTGGCTGGATCAATGATGCGTCCGACTATCAATGTCATTTGAATAGCTGGAGGGCTGGTGTCATACCTTACTATGTGACTACTCACCCTCCAGCTATTCAAAAACAGCATGCATTGACACTCAAGAGAAGCTCAGATTGAACCTCCACTCATTGAGTGTGAGTAAGCTTTTAGAATACGGGTGTAAGTGTCGCAATGTTTGCAACCCCAAACACCCCTCTTGAACATACCTGACGAAACCGACCTGATTTTTTCTCTCCCTCTTGGCAAGTTATAGTTTTGGCCTCCCTGGGTGTGATTAGAGAGGTTCAGATTTGACTATCGCTACCTCTTCCAGGTTTAGTACGCATTTAAATAGTTAATCGGATATATCAAAAGCATCTGATTGGTTAATGATAGCGGTATAGCGGTAGTGTAAATCAAATCTGAACGGAGCTCTTCTATATTATAGTACACATGGACCAGATATGTATTTCTTCATTAATCTGTTATTAATTACCATAAAATTAGCTAATTTTGAGGCTCCAGGTGTGTTAATCTACGTGCACTTAAGAATTCATTACATATTTATTTAGAAAATTCAAACGATTGTTTAATCAATATCGGTAAATCGGAAGATTTTATTTGAAAGATCGACTTTGAAATTCTCCTAACATGTAATCAATGACGTCACGCGCATGCTTTTTGTCATCGCTTAGCAACAAGCTTGAACTTTCCAGTGAGCTCTATATATCTGGAGGAAGAACTTCAGTCATTCGGCTTATGAGAAAAGTGAACGGTCAAGATGACGGAAATTGACGTCCAATAGCTATGAAGGTCGCAACCAGTTTTAATACCATTTAATCTCAGCTAATTCTACTTTTTTCTAACGGACCGTATGCATCGCTAAACAAGTTATCAGTTCATAAAATCATAATATTTTTCTTTAAATCGAGGTCAAAATACGAAATTTTCGCACACTTCTTGCTAGTTTCGTGTTAACCGCGCAAAATATAAACAATAGAATAGGACAGCCATCTTCGCTTCACTTCCGGCCTCCAGTTCTCGCTCCAGATATATATGGAGCTCACTGGAATTTCAGGCGGGCGAAGGAATAACAACATTTTGGTTAAAGTGCATATGACATGAATTTTTTTCTTAAATGAAAGAACTCTTTAAGCTGTAGTGCAACTTATTTTTGGTCATTTTTCAGTTTCGTGTTTTTATCGTTTGTTCCCGAGATATTTCAATTTGTTTGGTATGTTAATGAGTGTGAATATATCGCTAATTTATGACGTCACGTTGGTTGCAAGCTCTTCAAAATGGTTAAATATCACGGCTATCATCCAAGATAATAATTTCTAACTTCACTCACTGGTAAATGTGATAAAATACTGGAGAAAAACGTGAACTGATATCTACGGTTTTTAGAGTTAATAGATTTATAACCAGTGTAAGTTGAGCTTGCAACCAACGTGACGTCATAAATTAGCGGACATATTCACACTCATTTACATACCAAACAAATTGAAATATCTCGGGAACAAACCATGAAAACAAGAAACTGAAAAATTAATAAGTCACACTACAGCTTAAAGAGTTCTTTCATTTAAGAACATAAAAAATTTCATGTCATATGCACTTTAATAAACTGGGGGAAATGCTCGAATACTATAAAACTAAACTTCCCTGATAAGAAAAGGAATTTGCTGTTGTTTTGCTGCATCCTACAAGCCAGAAGCACGAAAGCCGTGGAGGCCGAGGACCGAGGTTTTCGTCAGTTGAGGTTTTGTTATCATTTGCTGCAATTAACGTTATATGTTTCGTGAAAGATATTTCAAACAGTTTTTATTTGAAGGTTATTTAAGGTACTTTCTTAATGAAATTTGTAGCTTGTTCCCTACTTTTTTGTGTATTCCTTTGTATTAATTCAAAAACAGCTGGGGAAAAAACCCAGCATTATTTCTTTGCCTTTCTTGCCTCGTTGTCTCTTCTTGGCTATTTTTGAACTTCATTTTCGGTCTTTTCTTTCCTGCGTTCTCATAAATTTTGGATATAAAAGTCATTCTATAATTCTGGTCTCATTGTTTTACAAAGAAACCGGACACAAACCAAGAAAAACTGAAAAACCAAGCCAATGCAATATGACGTTATAATGCACGCGCATTAGCCAATCAAATTACGTCTTATATCCTATTTATATTATAAAATAGAGCAAATGATTTAAGAATAAGATTTGTAATTTTCAGCTGGGTCATCCATTAGTTACATTACACTAAGATTCTATTTTTTTTTCTAAATAAAAATCCATTTTATGTAATATACTTATTCATCAGAGTCCTGTTCCAGTTCTTCGTCATCACTGTCCACAGGTATGTAGATATCTTGCTTTCTCTTTGGACAACAATTGAGATGAACGACTACTAATATAAGGATTACAACACCGAGACTTATGAAAGCCAAACCAAGGAAAGTTGTTCGGGCACCGATACGTTCCATCAACACCCCGCCAATCATACCACCTCCACCATAACCAACTCCCCAGTATAGCATGTGGACTATAGCTGCCAAGGTTGAGCCGTTGTGACAACTATCACCGATGTAAGACATCGCCGCAGCCCAAATAGCTGAAGATGTGAATGCTTTGAGAAACTCCACAGTCAAGACTAGCCAAGGATTTCCAACCACTCCGTATACGGTCAAACGAACTGCATAAGCAAAAATACCCAAAGCCAATACTTTCAAATGGCCATATTTTGAAATGAGTTTCACGGATAACAGAAACCCAATCATTTCGCCAACTGCGTTAAAACCAAGAATCAAACTAAAGAGAGTTTGAGATCCACCCAATGACTGTAAATACCAAAACAGGAAAGTCTGAATAAAACCCATATTAAAACCGGCCAGTAAGACTGTGAAGAAAACAAACAGTGTAAGGCAATCGAGTTGTTGACAAACTTGAGTTAACTGTGCGCGAGTTTCACGTGGATTATCTTCTTTTGCGTTTCGGAATTTGAAAGGTATTGCGACGACTAATGAGCAGAGCATCAAGAAGCCAAACGCGTAGAAACAAGGACTGTAATTGATATCATCAATTCCTTTACAAGCAAGTGATCTGTCGTGGTTCATACTCACTAACATTCCCACGACAAATGCTGACACACCCCAACCTATCGAGCCGAAACATCGCTGCGAGCCATACTTATGCGTATCGTCACCGAGAACCTGAAGTGTTGCGGTGTTTGCCATGGTCTGTGCGGGGGCCGCGAACAAATTCCCAATTAGAATTATGAAGAAAAGGTAAGTGAATGTATGCCATGTTTCGAGAGGTAAATGCATACTACTTATTGACCACCAGGACCCTTTTCCATTCTGATTGTTCGTTGAATCTAAATTGGATTCATCTATTTTAGCCACATTAGGTTGAATTGTAGCTTCCGTTTTAACCTCAGAAGAAATGTTCAGTGAATTTTGTAATGATGGCTTGTTTGGTTTTTTTTTACGAGAGAATCTTACTTGGTCGTGTGAGGCAGCCGAATTGTAATCTAGACTGTCTGGTGGGTTTTTGTTATGTTTTTTGCTTGTCATATCATTAGGCGAGGCATAGCTAATGTCCACGGGGTTGTAATCGAGAATTTCCTGCGGGTATGGGTTATGTTCTTTTCCGAGAATATTCTTGGGCAAGGGATAGCTTAATTCAACGGATCGCTTCGTTACGTGCGTTGAGTTCTCAGCACAACTCAACGGTTTTTTACCAGCTGGGACAAGGAGAAGGCTTGCATGCGAGAACAGCCAGCCACATAAGCCAATGAAGAGGACGATTTTCTTTGCATTGAACCTGTCAGCGACTAATGCCCAAAATGGTGTAGTGATAGATTGTATGATTGGCCTTAAGCCAACCAACAGTCCCGCTTGGGTAGGCGATAGCCACAGATGTCTGAAGTAAAGTGCGATGAAAGGAAAAAGGGAACCGATTGCGCCATAGAAGAAGTAATAGAAAGCTTTAAATGGCAATAAAGTGCGGTTTATATTTGAGCAAGGTGATGGGTTCTCCTCGCTGTCTTTGCTGTTCACAGATTCATACAAAGGTGGTAGTTCCTGATCAGAGACTTTTATATATGGTCGTCCCTCGCTTGGATCCATCACCCTTTTCTTCAACAACGAGAGACGATCTGTATGGAAGAAATAACAAGAAGTGAATAAGAAGTTATATGATTGGAAGCACACACATCATGCACATATAATAGTGATATGATGACTATCAGTGGAATACAAGTCGCCTTAAATGCATAGCATCCAAAAGAGCATTGTACATGAACAGGATAACTATCATTGAAAACCAAGATACTGCATGCCATTGCAAACGAAAAAAATATGAAATAAGATTCAACGGTTAAAGAAATGTAGTGGAAATAATGCAGGAGCAAGATTACTACAGTATCATTCCTCCAACACTAGGAAATATTCGAGAATAAATACCCTGTTAAAATAAATTTGCTTTGCAGATGTTAAAATTAGTTTGCTTTGCACGAAGTTAACTAGAAGTGATATCATCGGAAGCACGCATCATGTACATACCGATTTTCCATTAGGCGGAAATTTTCACGCGGAGCGGAATTTTTCTTTGTCTTGTGATTTCTCGGGTGGAACTAATTAGAAAAGACAAAGAGAAATTCTGCTCCGCGCGCAAAATTCCGCCTAGTGGAAAATCGGCTTTAAGCCTGTTTTCCACTAAGCGGAATTTTGCGCGCGGAGCGGAATTTTTCTTTGTCTTTTCTAATTAGTTCCACCCGAGAAATCACAAGACAAAGAAAAATTCCGCTCCGCGCGCAAAATTCCGCCTAGTGGAAAACAGGCTTTAGGCCTGTTTTATACGTCGAATTTCGGTCACATCGAATGCAATTCAAACAATAGATAATGAAGCTTAATGAGGTTTATCATCTAATTATCTATTGTTTTACAGTCAAAATACAATCCCACTTCCCGCTTCTGTAACTTGTTTTGTATTTCTGTAATTCGTTCTATTTTTCTGTAGCGATTACCGCTTTATCGGCAAATATCGCGGTAGGGTCCGGTAGAATTTCGCTTTCCTTCCTTTATACAGCTATTTCAATTAAGGTTGTTCCCGAGCAAAGCGGAAAAGAATTGAAAGAATAATGAATTTTTTAGCGATTCCCAGCAGCCTTTCGCGCTCGTATTCGACTTTTCCGCTTTGCTCCGGGACAACCTTGATTGAAATAGCTGTATACGTCAATTTGTAGCAATGGATACACCTTTCGTTAGATTCTTTGCATAAATTTGCGAAACTTAGATCTTAAAGACCATCTCAAGTCCGTAATGTAAACAAATCAATTGCTATATTTGTAAAATAAGACATCTTAACTGAATATCTAACACTTTTCTGGTTCGCTATTGTAAATGAATATAAACTAAAGTACGTTTCAATGAAAAGTTCGAAACATGCAAAATTTGGGCAATGTTTGTATCTGCGGGTCCCCCTTTGTTATGAGCAGAACAGATGCGCAGATCGGACTTGACATGGTCTAAGCGATATTTGCTGATAAATCGATTTTAAACCGCCGCTCATACTATACAAATTTAAAATTACCGACTACAATCATTTGACGTACTAAAATTAAAATTTCGCAACTTTTATGCAAAGAATCTAACGAAAGGTGTATCCTTTGCTACAAATTGACGTATATAAAGGAAAGGAAGGGAATTTCTACCGTGATATTTGCCAATAAAGCGGTAATTGCCACAGAAAAATAGAACAAATTGCAGAAATACAAAACAAGTTACAGAAGCGGAAGTGGGATTGTATTTTGACTGTAATTAATAATAATAAATAATAATAATAATAGACTTTATTTAAAGAAGGTATTACAAAAACCAGTTTAGCAAAGCTAATCTTACACTGGGCCTTCTATAACTACGACTATTAACAACAAACAAATATATTAGGTAACGTGGGGAAAAAGAAGATATATGGTATATATATACAATAGATTACATATGACTACGTTTAAACTGTTTCTAAAAAGTATTGATATGTTCTTAGTTTGAATGATGCTACCGAAGAAGAGTTTCTCATCTCAAGTGGTAAACCATTGTAAAGTGTTGCACCACTGTATGGTATTGCCCAGGGACGCCGGAACTGGGGGGCAGGGGGGCGGCTGCCCCCCTTGCCTTTTGCCAGGGGGGGGGCAGAGGGGGCAGAAGTGCCCTTTTAGTTGTAAAATACTACGTGATAAATGACATTTCCAGTGATGCTTTTTCTGGGAAAATCATGAGATTCAGATAATTTATAGGCCTAGAGAAAGTAAATTAACAAAAATAATTGTGAATTTGGTAAAGAATGAGTTTAATTTACAAAAATTTTAGAAAATTTTTGGAATTTACAAAAAATTTTTAACTTAACGGAAAATTTTTGTATGTCCGGAAAAAAATTTTGACCCCTAAAATGGTACACTGACCGAAATTTTTTGGCGACGGGTGGGGAGGGGGGGGGGGAGGCCGCCCAAAAAATTTCCATAAAAAAAAATTTTCCGGTAGATTTTGAACTTTTGGTCTATAGAGGTGCCCTTGGTGTGCGTCTGCCCCCTTTGCCTTATTATCGTTCCGGCGTCCCTGGTATTGCCTTTCGTCTGATTGCCAATTTATTCCTTGGTACCCACAAATCATTGTCCGCAGAACTTCTGGTGACTCGATTAGTCACTGACGACTTCAGTTGAAATAAGTCACAAATGTATTCCGGTACCAATTGGTTTCGAGCCTTGAATACCATAATCGCGGTTCGTAGCTTGACTCTTTGCTGTATAGGTAATACTTTAGCTGCTTTAAATAGTGGTCCACATGATGTTAGTCTTGGTTGATCATAAACAATTCTCATTGCCAATTTTTGAAGCTTGTGTATTCTTGTAACGTCAGTCGATTGACCCCAAACTGTCGAACAATAATCGATGTGAGGTTGTAATTGCATTCGACGCGACCAAAATTCGACGTATAAAACAGGCCTTAGTTAATTAAAAAGTGTGAGCTTCTACCATCGCCAGGTACTCACGGACCCCTATAGTTTTCAATCCTGCTAACTTTAGAGAACAAAGCTAAAACAAAGCAATTTTAAGAGGGACGCGAATGACATTTCGTTCCGTTTTAAATGCGCGATATATAGAAAATAATTGCTCTTTAAGCTACTGCTACATTTGGAACAAGAACATAAATTCATAAAAAATGTTAATTTTGTTAAACTACGAAGCTATTTCTTTAGAATATCTTCTTCCAAGAATCCATTTTGTCTTTGGAGAAGACGTGCCACTGTAATTTATAGGAACAAATATACGTCTTCGTGCATATTTTGACATTTTTTAAGATCTTTCCCAGGATATCGATAGAATTCAAGGAATTGACGAAGTATGAGAACGCGCCATGCATTAACATGCATGATATAACATAATATACTAGTAATAACAAAATAGGCATGCTACTCGCACTATTTGAGTACTGTACCTCGACATCGTCTCGAGAAACATTGAGACTTTCGGGAAAACAAAGTTAACTACTTCCTTCTGGAGCGGACACTAAGTGTATAATATACAACGGAGAGAGGTAGGTTGTTCAAACAGAATTCAACGAGGAAATCGCGTACATTTATTATTCTCGTAGACAAAGGGACATGTACTGTTGCCTACGGTTTCGACAAAGTTAGCATCATTTTATTGTCAGTCTACGAGACTTTTTGCTTAGACCCGCGCAAGTCCGGTAATTTTATAGTCATACTTTTTCTTATTAATAAAACAAAATTTTGGGTTCTTTCCAATTTACTGATGAAGCTATACAGAGGAACACATTTATATTTAGCCATTTTCTTGTTATATAATAAAGAAAATGCAAGAAATAATCAAACAAGGGCAGTCGTCAGAAATCATTCTTCTTCAAGACTAAAACGAAGATGTAGTTCAGGTAACTATTTCGTCATACTGTCCTCTCAGATGTTCGGGGATGTTCATTAAATCATGAGTAGTATATTTTAGATTTTAAGAGTCATTATTCTTATGCTTCGAACTTGAGCAATTGTCATGAGTAGGTTTCTCGAAATTTTACAGACCGTTAGAACTTTCACGGACTTTTCATCAAAGCTTACGAGACTATATTGGAGTGATTTATCCCTCAATTCCATAAATGAACTCTTACTTTTTAAATAAAACACATATTTACCGCTCCTCGATCGTGTAATCACTTGGATAACTTAGTCGGCGATACTTCTCGCTTATACTGATACATGTCTTGTCTAAAATCCATTTTTACATTTGAAACCACGACGTAAACAATCATACAAATTTCTATAACTTCTCTCGCCGAGCATCTGGCAGTTAAATGATAAGAGTTTGATTGAAATTCGTTTTTTTGTCTTTGTCAGACAATTCAGATGAAATTTGCATTTACGTATCCGGCTTGTCCAGCATTTGTGCATCTCATTAAGATAAAGTACATTCAATTATATTGCTTTCGATATTCCACGCCCTTTTCCAACATTTTCGCATTGAAAAAGTATATATGTCATCATCTAAGTTGATTGTTTTGTGAGGAAAACGCTTATTTTTCGGTTAAGCTTTACTTAGCAGCCATCTGTGCCGGGGTTACAAATGCAAAAGAGCTCTTCATACTCAGAAGGCAAGATGATAACGGATGTCTTTAATTAATTTAGAATTCGTAACTATTCAATTCGTCCAATCGCAATTCTGCAAATCAGCTGTATACGCAATATGGTAAACACCGTCCCACTCAAAATTTATTATTTATTGGCTGACTTCAACGATAAGCTCGACAGCTCCTGTCGCTTTAAAGACAATTTGTCGACACAGGTCTCCAGAAAACGTCTTTTATTTTTAAAAAATCGAATCGAAACTAAAACATCTACAATTCGTACTACATGAAGTACATATTTTGTCACGCTGGCGGTAAGCCAAACAAAAATACTACACGGCAAAAAACGCCGAGCCCGTTGCTCAAAAGGACTGAACAATGTTTTGCTGCCCACGTTGTTCACGCTTGTCAACAATATTGAACAATGTTGTTGAGCCTGAATCATCGGGTGTAACAATATTGTTCAATATTGTTGACAGTTATGAACAATGTGGGCAGCAAAGCATTGTTCAATCCTGTTTTCATCCGTATTGCATCAACCTGAGCGTTTTTTGCCGTGTACATGTTGAAACAATGTTTGGGAAATATAAATTATATAATTGTTTGATAGAAAAGCGAGAGGTTGCTGTATGCATGTATTTCTAGTGTATATTATTCGCTAAACGCTATTAACTAAATTTCTCATCAATCGACTGGACACTTAACATAAAAATCACACTAAAGAGCTACTCTATTTATTGACTTCCTTGCCATTCAAATTACAAGTTAGAAGAACACATCACCTCACTCTATGTAGGCTATGTACAGATTTAGCAGGATATTTTTTTGTCGTGAAGTATAGCGAACAGTTCCGTCGCTACACATTCAAACTGCAGCTATAAAGCCAGTAGCGAACTACATTTGTCGTCAAAAAGCAGTAGTTGTAGCTGACTACATTTCTTCGAAGTATGGCTGTAGGCAGCGAACTACGATTACGATCAACATTTTGACAACGCAAATTTACATGTCAGTGGGTATAAACAGGGACGCCGGAACTGGGGGGGGGGCAGGAGGGGCAGCTGCCCCTCTTGCCTTTTGCTAGGAGGGACAAGGGAGGGGGCAGAAATGCCCTTTGAGTTGTAAAATACTACCTTATAAATCACATTTCCAGTGATGCTTTTTGGCAAAATCATGGAGTGTGATCTTGAATGTGACCTGATTAAGTGCGTTTACTTTCATTGGCAAGTCAACACATTATTGTAGGTATATCTTCACCGGGACCTATAGAGGTGCCCCTTGGTGTGCGTTTGCCCCCCTTTGCCTTTTTATCGTTCCGGCGTCCCTGGATATAAACATTTTGTAGACAGCGCACCCTTGCGCGTCCAGGCGGAAGTTGGGGACCAGGCGGAAGTTATCGACAATATTATTTTCATCCATGCGCGCAAATTAAATTATTAAAGCGCAGCCTACGTGGGCTAAATCTTCTGAAATTACCGTGACTCATTAGGGCCATCCATTAATACACAACACTTTTTTGTATGTATAGGTACAACATTATTTGTTATATGTGTGTATGTGTACACATGTATTTAGTGAGTCAGAACTCCATACTTGCACGTCAACGGGTTTCTTATTCCCACGAGGAAAGTGTCAAGTATTAAAGTTATTAAAAATATATAGGATCCAAGATTCGTCCAAGCATATTTGTGAGGAAGTGGAACACACAAATATTGTAAAGAAATTTTCAGTTTTGTTTTCCATTCCATTTCCGTATTCAGACATCCCCGAGTTCTCCCAGGTCTCCCAGTTATCGCACGATGTAAAGCAGGGTAATATGTAGAATGAAAACAGCTTGCATGGACTGTTACAGGTCTGCAAACAAGTTGTTACAAATCTGTTCACAAGCTGTCAACCGTCGTGTTCGCACTTGTGTTCCCAGTTGTTGTAACAAGTATGGAACAAGCTGTTAACAACTTAATTGTAACAAGATTGATGGCATTATCAGACTTGTAGCAAAGTTGTTCTAACGAGTCTGATACAGTCATGATATAACAAGAATGTTACAAGGTTGATGACACAAGGTTGTAACAATATTGTTATATCATGACTGTATCGGACTTGTTGGAACAAGCTTGAAAGAAGTTTGATAATATCAACAAGGTTGTTACAAGTTGTTAATAGTTTGTTCCAAACTTGTTAACAACTTGGGACAAACAGTGCGAAGACAACTTGTTGACAACTTGTTGGAAGACGTGCTACAAGATGTGAGACTTTTGCGTGTGTAGTCATGATCATATACTCACATATACACTGATCATGAAGAAGCTTGCATGGGCTGGCCATGATCAGCTTATTTTAGCCAACCACGCAGTTGCAATTAACGTAACGTGTAATCTCTTTTCTGCTGCAGGATGAAGACAACACGTGAGGATTATGAATTTTCGTTATTAAATATTTTCCAGCATTTGTTATCTAACACGTATACTGCTATCATACCATTTGACTACAGTCCAATTTTGACACACCAAGCAGTCGAATGTAATGATTTGGTAGAAGAATACTTTAAACTTGGATTTGCTTACACAGAAATTCTTCTGAGTGTTTCTTCAATGTCGTCATGACATTAGACTGAGCATAAGACAGCTGAAACGCATTCTTAGAGCAAGAGGTTTGAAACGAAGAGGTAACCAAGAGGATCAATTGAACGTAAAAACAGCCATTGAAAGTGAATTAAATGGCAATGGAAGTTGTGTTGGTTACAGACAAATGCACAAAAAAATGCAAGTAAAGTATGGTTTTGCTGTGGCTAGGGAAACAGTGAGAATAATTTTAAAGGTTCTCGATCCAAATGGCGTTAAAACTAGGTCAAGAACAGCCTAGCCCTAGGCCTTTACTCGGCTGGTAATTATCGCAATGGTCATTTGCCTCGTAAAGGCCTAGTAGATTTCACAAGTTCTCAAATTAGCCCCATAACTTTGTGACCCAAAATTGATCAGAAACCAACAACTAAAGCAATTTATACCGTCCAGTAGTTATTACATTAACTATAAAAACATTTTATATGACTAAACTAAGTTCTATTTTGTAGTAATATTTTGACTCATTTTGACCTTTCGCAACATAAGAATAGTGTAGCTTCAAACTTTATGATAAAAACCCCAATTTTCTAGGCGTGTATACAAACAAAATAGTAAGTTTATACTATAAATGAGTTTATTTTACCTGTATCGGTTTAAATTCGCTGTTAAGTTGCAAATAATTCTGTTTGAGAATGCAATAATTGGGCATTTCGCAACCAGGGCAGTTTCAGGGCAGTTTTGGCCTTGTTGTGGGAAATCCACTAGGCCTTCTATTTTTTCGCTTGCGTCCATCCTCCGCCCCGCCACCAAATCACCTAGTCCCAGTCTTTTCATGTGAAAAAGCGCTGAATATTAAAAAAATAATAAAAATAGAAGGCCTAGGTCTAGGCTGGGTCAAGAAGACGTTTTCAGACGTCAAGAATACCGTGGAAGGGACCGAACGTTATTTGGCATATAGACGGTTATGACAAACTGAAACCTGACGGATTTTCTGTTCATGCGGCAATCGATGGTTACAGCCAGATAATATTATGGCTTGAGGTGTCTCCCACCAACAAAGATCCAACGTATGTTGCTAGGTATTTTGTAGATTGCATTCGTCAATTAAGCTGGAGTAATACGAGCAACAAAATTGCTGCAACTTGCAATAAAATCTGATTTCAACGCATGTTAAGTAGAAAGGTTGACACATTTTGCCTCGTGATTTGTAATGTATATGTGAACATTTTCAATTAAACATGCGTTGAAATCAGATTTTGTTGCAAGTTGCAGCAATTTTGTTGCTCGTATTACTCCACCTTTAGATGGTGTCCCAAGAGCCGTGAGGGCTGACCGAGGGACGGAAATTAAAATGTCAATGTTTGTGCGATTCAGCGATTCCTAAGGGCAGTTTCTGAAGATGCGTTCGCTGGGGAAAAGAGTTTTATTTTTGGAACGTCCACAAGTAACCAGAGAATCGAATCCTTGTGGTCTCAGCTGCGAAAAAGTAATAGCGACTGGTGGATGGAGTTTTCAGAAATATGAGAGAAACCGGCGTATATGATGACATTATACTTCAATTCATGTCAACTGCATCGCCTACGGTTTTATGCCAATTTTTGAGAAATATATAAGTTGAATGAAGCTGTAAAATTTGGAACACGCATTTGGATAAGACAGTCAGCTAACAAAGAATCTCCAGGTGGAAAACCAGATTTTATCTATTCAATACCAGAACTACACAATACAGAAAAATATTTCTTGTTGATGCTGCACTTGACGATGTTGATGTTGCAGAAGATCTGTGCATACCGCGCCACACAATTCGAGATTGTGATGAGAATTTCATTGAACTTGCTGATATTATTAACACTGAAAATAATCTCCACGCTCCAACCACAGTGGCTGAAGCTGAGAATTATTATGTCACCCTACTAGCGCACATTGAATCCGTTTAAACTGAGTCAAGCCAACAAATATTTTTAATATTACTTAGCATGTAAGCGCATGCGTTTACGATTTATTAAAAAATGTAAACCTTTGACTAATATCACTCAATCATATTCTCTACCAACTTGCACATACTAGAATTGAATAAGATACCTATTATACATAAAGGAACAAAATCACGATGTTTTGACATTGTTGAAATGAATGAACGTCCTTTAATATGGAACAACCTTAAACATATTCAGTTCATTAACTATATATAGTGTTACCACACACAGTCAAACTGATTTGTTAAGTACCATTCAAAAACTCATTAATAATTCATGAAGCAATTATCCAATCTTGAGTAAGAAATTAGTCACGTGCATATACGTCTTTATACCAGCTAAAGAACACTTTAACAAAAGACCATTGTTATGCAAACTATATAAAGATTTTTATATAAAGATTTTTATATAAAGATTTTTCTATAAAGATTTTTCTAAAGAGTTTGACTTATTATGCAATATAAAGAGTTTGACTTATTATGTCAAACTCTTTATATTGCATAATAAGTCAAAGAGTATATATAAATATAAAGAGTTTGACTTATTATGCGATAATCTTTGACGATATAAAGAGTTTGACTTATTGCGCAAACGTTTTTGAAGCCATTTAAAAAACTCGCAGGTCGTGTTTTATTAGGTCTAAATTCCACTCGCGCTGCGCGCTCGTGGCTTTAAACCTAATAAAACACTCCTGCTCTTTTTTTAAATAGTACACCTAAAATGTTTTTTTTACGTTTCTTATAACTAAGAGAAAATACAATGTGACGTGCTTGCACGAGCAAACTGAATTGGGAACGTTCCACAGAGAAGGAATTGATGCGTGATTATTCGTCCCAAAATTGGATAACGCTCCAGTGGGAAGTGCGAATGAATGCGGAAGGTGAACTGACTATAGCCAATGCCATTTTCGGACAAAAAGGAATTCCAGAATAAAGAAAACATTTCTCGTTGAGGGCCACTCCCAGTTGCAACGGCATCAACAAAGCTCACAGATAATCTATTTCTAATCAACGCTTCATCCTCGTACAGGTTGAGAACTTCTTCGACAATCCGACTCTTGTCGATGAGGGCAATACATGTCTCATGCATTTTGTCCAGTTCTGTTTGGCGAATATCTTGAAGTTTTCTGTATGTCGACATTTCCGCGTCATAACTTTGACTACTGTCATTTTCATCACCCGATAGCAGTTGTTGTGGCGGAATACTACTTACTTGTTCCAGGTCAAACGAGTTTGTGTTAGTTACGACAGTGTCATCGGTAACTTCAAAGTGACTTGACTTACCCGCGTAAAAAAGCACTTCGTTTTCATCTTCACTTAGTGCAACTGGAATTTCTCTCTCACTCATATTAAGAGTTGTTCTTTGTACTGTCTCACATTTAACGTCTGGAAAAATTAATTTCTTTGTTATTGCACACGTCAACGAAAAATGCTCTGGTTGAGCAGACAAGGAACCTATCCAGTCATATACTGCAGAGACTGACCATTCTTTTTTGAAAGACCTTGTTACAATACCAAAAGAAATATGGCGTACATTAACTAACATGTGGCTTGGATCATCTATTTCTACTTCAGGAAAAACTCTTGCTTCCCGAGATAAACGGAGTTCTTCACGCCGTTCGGCTTCTCTTTTCTGCCTTTCGTTTTCACGAGCCTTCTCTTGATCTGCTAATTCCGATCTTCGCACTTTGCCTTCAAGTTCTGTGAAAAATGAAGCTCTTTCTTCCGATGTGCCAATGAGCTGGCTTTTACTAGTAGGTTCGTTGAAAATGGGAGAGGAAATTTGTGGACTGTCGCCAACTGTGCTTTGGTTTTCTTCGTCAAGAAAATCATCCCAAGCAGGAAAATCATTTGATGTAGCATTCACCTTAAATACAAAAGCAAACATGATCAAAGATATAATCTATATAATTATTTTTTAATTATAATTTAATTTTTATATAAAATAACGCTAATTGCTTTATTGTACATTTCTTGCACATAATTTATGTGTATTAAATTTTCCAAATCTAAAAAAAAGCAAACGGTTTTCCTGCCATGACATGCACACGCAAATGTGTGTGCCATATTTTTCTGACGCATAAACCGCGATGTGCAAAAAATAGCGCACCCTACCTCTGTCTCACTGTTGGTCACTTCAGTGATAGTCTTGTCTTTTGACATCAGATATATGCGCGCTTTTGAGAGCTTGTAACACTGAAAATACCCTTGTATGGTAAAAGGATTTTCGATTCCATCGTTATCTCTTAAGACATCCACTTTCTCCATTTTAAAGTTTGCAAGGTCAAATTCCATCTCATTTGCAAAACCAAACTTAGACTGTCCGTTTTCGAAAAAGATACCAATGGCTGCTTGCAGAACATTGTCTTTAGTGTATGCAGCAGGAAACTCCATATTTCTAGTTCCTCCCCCATTAGTTGCCCGTACATGAATGTAACGATCTTCCTTCTTATTATAATGTAGCCATCCAAGCTGGATTCGTCTTGTTTTCTCCTTCATTTGTACAGAAGATCCCGTAACAACATTGTTGGGTTTTTTACTTTTAGTACTAGTCTCTGCAACGTTTTGCTTCAGCCTAGTTTTCTTGCCAGACTGCAAAATAGCCATCAGCTTTCGCTTTCGTTCTTGTCTACAGCTTTCAGGAGTCTGCGTAAATGATCCTGAGGGCGTGCTTGAAGAGTTCCATCCTTGGCAATATGAGCGCAAAGCACAGATATCTCCTTTAGCGCACAAGCCAAGATCTTCCAATAGTTTATCGTCAGCACCGCATATTGCATCTGGGTCCATCTAGAATAATATTTTAACATTAGTACAAAAATTGTACATATTATAAAGATATCCATCTGTGAGATGTAAAGTCTGGTTTACAACTGTGTCTGTGAGAGTAGGTCACAATTACTTAAAGGTGCTCTACAGTCTGTATGTAAACAAAGCCTTTGTTTACATTTTTGTGTCCAAAATATTGAGCTTTATTCAACAACTATTTATATTTCCAAGCTTCTACAGTATAATAAATGATCAAGAAACAATAATCAGGCTTTTCAAGAACCCAAAACATAGTTAAACTGTTTGTATCATAAAAAGTGGGCTCCTTTGTGCACATGCGCAGATCGGACTGTAGATCACCTTTAAGCTTTATATGACAATCAAATACAAAAATCTCTCAGGTTAAGGTGGCACGATACAATTGTCAAAGTTCACTTTTTCTAGCATCTCATTGGTGGAAAATGCATCACGTGAGAGTAACGAAATTTTACTGTTCACTTAGCAATAAATACAAGCGAGCAACAGTACTTTTGGGTCGGTGATAGATCATGTCGAACTAACGTACCATGACCATGTCCATGACGTCATAATTTGACCGACAGCCAAGTCTGTAATTTATAGCTAAATCTCTGAGCTAAATTAAATTTTTAAAAAATAAACTGACCCTACTCCCAACCCTTACCCAATCCTTTAAACGTGTACAAGTAAAAAAGTTAAAACTAGTCAGGAAAAAAAATTTAAGTAAAATTGCTACTGAAAAATACAAAAACATCCGGAAGCGGACTTGAACCCTGGGAGTAGAGCAAATTGTCTTATGCCTAACCTCTTGAGCTAAAGCCGAGCTAGCTGAAGTTCCTAAGAAAATAGTATTTATAGTACGGTCATTTTAGTATTAGTAACACCGACCGTACTTTTGTTGACCATCAATAATAAAAAAAATTAAAAAGCCACGTGAAGTGCCATGTGAATGCGACTTCGAACTCCTTTACAAATAGCTTCATGTTGTATTTTATAAAGTTGAGTTTTCAGTAAATTTCAAAAATAAATAATAATAATAACAATAATTGATTTAATAGATCGCATTGCAGCCAAAACTGAATTTATATACGGTATAATAAAACGTTTCATATGATAATAAAGCACTTTAATATTTACTGGACCCTCTGGAAAGCAGTATATATGTTTCATATTTCAGTATACAGCGAGACATAGCTATAGCCAGGAGATGCTGAGTTCCATCAGCAGTATTTTATCCTCATAATTATGCAATATATACAGGTATAGATATATAGTGTATATAGTGTGTATAGATATATAGTAAATATATATAGTGTGGGCTTGTGCATATTATCGACTTATAAAACTTGCATGATTGTGTTGTTTGTGTATATATTTTTTAGTAATTTTTTAGAATGAATATTTTTGTAAATAGAAACGGCCCCTTGAAAATCAGACTTACTTACCATTTTAAAATATTTGTAAATAAATAAATAAATAATATATTTGAAAATCAGAGTTTGGCGGGTTAGCGTAGTGAAATATTTGTAAATAAAAATAATAACTTCGGGGTTAATATAATAATGAATAAGGTTTGGTCAGGATTATTCTAATCAATAATTACAGTGTTTAATTACAGCCGTTTAATTACAGTACAGTACATACCTTTTCTGTACGAAATCGACTGATCACACTTGCTCTTACATTTCTTGATTTTAAGAAATTTAGAACCTATGTCAGAAAGGAAAGCATTCCTA